TTCCTCCTTCAAGGCCGGTCTCAAGACCTTTTTCTTTGACCGAGCCTTCAGCTCCCCTCTCGACTCTCTACCCCCTCCTCGCTCCCTCCCTTCCCTCCCCTCACCCTGACCATTTCCCCCCTGCTCGGGTTCTGACCCAACTGTACAGCGCCTTGGGACGTCCTCCCGACGTGAAAGGCGCTCTATAAATGAAATCTTGTTGTTGTTGTTGTTATAACTCACGGGGGGGAAATGTGATGTATTTTCACCAGTGATAATATCACAAGCTGCATTTTTCCCCTTATCATTCCACGAGCCACTCTTACCCGAGTTCCGTTCTTGAGACTTTGTAGGTGCATAGAGAAATATCAGTATAAAGCCAACAAACTAAAGCTCTCACCCTATTTTCTCCAAATTCAATTTGAGAAGTTTGAGAAAAAACATCCCTTTCTCTTTTTTCTGTCACTCCCCATATAATGGAAATATTCACACTCCAAACACAACATGATGTGTCTTCATAGTGACCACTAGCTGTAGCATAGGAATTCTGAGTTGAAAATATGACAATTGCTGCACTTTACAGTATATCCTTTGAAGGGCTTGGAGACATCTTCCTGAAATGAAAGGCACAATATGAAATTCAAGGATGATTAGAATTGCTTTTAATACTTCTTTTTTACTTAAATGGTCACAAACAAGTTTATTTTTCACATCCCGCAAGTCTAACTGGTTAGACTTCAGTACACTTTGGGGTCCCAAGCCTTGCCTCTTGCCAACCTGCGCCTAATACTTTCTGGAATTAGGTAAGCAGGATATTTTTTTCTTAAACTGCATTGAATTTGGAGAAAATAGCGTGAGAGCTTTAGCTTGTGATTTTATATTGATATTTCTCTATGCACCCACAAAATCTCAGGAATAGACTCACCGAAGTACAAAATTAGAGAAGGCCTATGTGATCCTATAAAAGAGATAACCTGTTCTAATTAACACCATTGAATCATCTTTTCTGAGTATAAAACAAAGCTGCACTCAACCACAAGTGATCCCCCCACCCCATTCTATTGGTAATCAGCATTTGGGCCACACATTCACAGCTATGTTCCTGGCTCTGTAGTTTTGCTGTCATCACACCTTCTAAATTGGTCAGGTTTCACTTTTCCTGCTTTTGTGTTTGGTCAGAGCATTGTTTTCAAGGTTCCCAAGTCTTGTTTTCATTATCATTTGCCAATAAACGCCACATGGAACATTCTGTGCAGCTAACAACAGCTTGTTATTCTATTCTTTAAAAAACACATCTGGTCCTCTTCAAACTTGTTTATAACTCAAAATCGCTAAAGTGTTTTCTTTATTAATGTTTTGTTTTCTCATTACAAATGTTTGTTATAATTCCCCGATCTAATTCATCATCCTATAGATTTATTTTTACGAAAAGGATTTTGACGGTCACTCCTTTCTCATTTTAACCATTTTTTCCCAAGCAAAAGCCACTTGTCACAAGGTAGCTGCCTCCATTTGAGGAAGTTGGTGTGTTCTTACAAGTCTTTACATCCATGAATAATGGCAGAGTCTCGAAGGTCTATGATGAAATCTTCTTGCCTTCACGATGGAGACTAAGACGGTATAAACCAATGAGCATCTCAGAATATCTGTAATCTCCCAAATGCAGTATGTGTTTGGCTGCCTTGCTCACCTTTCCCCAGGCATTTAACATTCGTGGGATGTGTATAGTCTCAATTACACTGGAACCTCCCCTTTGGTAATGGTCCGGGTTGAGAATTGAGAGATAAGTGAACAATAATCTTCATGTATGGCATCTTTCACATCAGGATATTGTCTCAAAGCGCTCTTTAGGCTTTACTGTGAAGTTTAGTGACTGCGTATTTTGTAGGCAAATGCAGCAGCCAATTGTCACAGATCAATGTCCCACACACTCCCTTGAATGATCAATTTTATTGGGTGAGGTGGATTTCTGAGTAGGACTCCAGGAGAAATCTCCCAAATTCAGCTTTAATGCCCACCTGAGCCCACCTGAGCAGGCAGACGGGATCTCGGTTTCATGTCTCATCTGAAGGATGGCATCTCCCGCAATCCAACTTTGAAGGCAACATTTTGCTTACACCCAAAATGGAGAGGAGAGGATTGGAATAATGGAGGTTTCATCCTGCGTCTCACTGATCTCTTGTTATTTGTGCAGTCACCCATCACGCGATGTCAGTTACAACTAAGACAGAGCCAGATCTTGAAATTCGAACATCAGTGCCCACCAGGAGCCGTGCTCTAAGCTTTGAACATTTCCCTAGTGTTGTAATTAATAGCCTTGCTTGATATGCATAATAGGGACTAATAATCTCAGCCTATTGTGTGTACATAAATGCGCACCGTTATTTAAGAGATAGCTTTCCTTTTCCCTTGGTCAGTTCAACATCTCTATCAACGTTATTTTTCTTTGCAATGCTTCCCCTTTAAGCTTAACCAGAGTCAGAAATAGTCCATAAATTTTGCTGATAAGAACAAAATATAATGTTAAAAAGACACACATTTGTTTTTGCATTTCCAAAGTAAAACATTGTGACTGATTAGTGTAGGAATGCTTTGGGTTTTTTTTGTATAGACTTAAATTGATTTAAAATGGCTGATCTTGGCACAGACCAGAAAATGCAAAGAATTACTTGTGTGCAATCTGATAAATTAATTATTTAATCCTTACATTTGATGTAGCGCCTTTCAAATTGGGTGGATATCTTAAAAGTGCTTTGAAGAATTTACTATGAAGTGTCGTGACTATATGTTTTGCGGGTGGAATTTTGGGCACAAACTATTTTGATAGTTTCAGTTGTTATTTTGACAGTTTAATTATGTGCAGAAAACGCCACTGATGTCACTTCAGTAGAATCCAGTAGAGTAGTGGTTAACACGCTTGCCTGACAAGTAAGAGAACCCAGGTTGGATTCCCAGGCGGGGTGAAACCTTAGGCACTCTGAGACGCCGTCTGGGGTGAAGGGCACTATATAAACACAAGTTGTTGCTGATGTTGTCAGGCAAGTTTCCTTGCTCCACATGCCTCTGTTTACCTAGCAGTAAGGAGGAGCCCAGTTGTTAGTGGATTGGTGGGTTAACTTATAATAATAATAATAATAATAAACCTTGCATTTGATAAGCAGTAGTTAGTAGTAATATTAATGAAATAAAGTCAGAGTCACTTTCTGCGCAAAGTGTGCATGCAAGTTATGTACACAAAATGACCAGGCCATCACATTTTTTTGGATGCTTTGCTTATAATGCTGCCTCTGAGATATTAGCCCCAGAGAAACAAATGTGTTATAATGAGCTTTCATTACGGCAAAAGGCATTTAGTATGAAAACACTAAATGTTTTGTGTATAATATACAACAACAACAACAAAATGACATTTTTTTTACATTGTAGGGGTGAGGGAAGGCAGAAAGGTGGGAGGGAGATCAAAGGCACGGTCGAAGAGAAGGATCTTGAGATTGGCCTTGAAGGAGGCAAGGGAGGAAGCGAGGCGAAGGGACCGTGGGATGGAATTCCAGAGTGTGGGGCAGAGAGGCTGAAAGCCCGGCCACCGATGGTAGGGCGGGTAGATATAAATATATATATATTAATAGACATAAATATATATATATTTATGTCTATTATTGGCAAGGCTTTCAATCCAGTAGTGAGGGCGGGAGGCTTATATATCTTATGCATCTAACGGCAGCGGAAATTAAGATGAATGCAGTGAAATTCAGTTTCTCATACTATGGTAAAAAAAATCCAAGAAATGTTTAAAAGAATTACGTTTAAGAATTTCTGATTAAAAATATTGCTCAGATGTTACGATTCATCAGGATTTTGAACATTGCTGCAGTGGAATGGCATGGTAAGTAGTGCTATCACGGGGTACAGCCACTGTAAACCTAGTGCCACAGACATATACAGCACAGGAGGAGAGTGCCATATTCCTACCTTTCGCCCACAGCATATAAAGTTAAAGTAAGAACCAGCACTGAAAAAGAACAACCCACATTGCACACAGTGGTTTTAGAACAGATGGTTTGTGGCTTGGTTTTGCACAAGAAGTTGGCCCAAGAGGTGCCCATTTGAATGATGCAGTGAGGTTGAGTGCTGTTTTCTCAGGCGGGTCAGAGAGTTCATGGTCAGTTAGCCTTACCCTCCACCTCTGGGAACTCATGAACAAATTCAGCCCAAACAGCTAGGGCGGTAGGTAGCCCTTGGGTCGAATGCAAGGGTTCCTAGGGAAATTGGCCTGGGGTACCTGAAGCCAATATACACTTCTACAGCAGACTAGCTGCATCCTACATAACAAAGGCTGGTATAGGCAATGACCTCTGTTACAGTAAGAAAAAGTTCTACTGAGCAGTCGATTGAAGGATCTTTCTAATGCAGCGCTGCCGAAGCTCTGACCTGATGCTAACCTGGGAACAAAACATTACTTGTGTTACATCTCCTTTAACTTGATGAGCTTGACAATCGTACTTTGAAACTCGACAAAGGGAAACTACCCATTTGCTTCATTATCCACATTATTAGTGAAGTACAGTGGTAAAGGCAACAGTACAGCATTGTCAACTCCAAGCTTCTAGCATAATAACAATCCTTGAAATTTATATAGCCCCTTATCATGTCACTGAGACCTCTCAAAGCATTTCAGAGGGTATACTACAAAGTGAATTTGGCTGTATATGATGTGGGCGAAACATGGTAGCCAATTGTGCATAGCAGTGGCTCACAAAGAATCATGGATTGAGTGACCACATTTTTGTTAAGGGATTTATTACCGCCGGAAATCGATCCGACAATTGACTGACAACCAGGTTCCTCCTTACTGCTAAGTAAACAGAGGCATGTGGAGTAAGGAAACTTGCCTAAGGTTTTGCCCTGCCAGGGAATCGAACCTGGGTTCTCTCACTTGCAAGGGGAATGCTATAACCAATACGCTACAGGATTCCCAATAATGATGTTTGTCTTTGTCCCTTTCTTTTTCTTTTTGATTCCAGGATCATAGCGAAAGCATCAGTGAACTTGATGTCATCCCAGAGTCTGGGCATCGTGTTTGGACCAACCCTTCTGAGGTCTGAACAAGAGACCGGAAACATGGCAGTGTACATGATGTACCAAAACCAGATCGTGGAGCTGTTACTTGTGAAGTTCGCAGAGATCTTCAACCCTTAGGGGAAGTGACGATGCTCTTCTTTATTGGGGCATTTGTGTTCTCAATTGACTTGGGTGTTGCAAATATTTTGATATGGCTGTAGTCCTGCTGTTTGCACAGGATCATTACCATTGCCTTTGTTTACTTCTCATATTCTCCCTCACTGGGTTTTAATCCGTATGAACCTATATAGATGATGTTTGCCCGAGGGTAGGTTATTATCACTCAGTTTTATAATCACTGATTTCAGGCTACAATGCTCCAGACTTTCCCAACTAACCCTAAATTACAAAACCAAATTGGCCTGCACTGCCATTAAGATTTAGCAAGCTAACATTTTTTTCCTTGTGCCTTTATAGCTTGTGAATTGTTGGTCAACCACCCAGTTGAGCTGAGGATAATCTTAGGTTCCTGCCAGACTGTGGTTACACACACTTGGTTCACTAACAGATCCAAAGTTAACTAATCAACACAAACTGTATCTTAAGGTGTAATGATAGTTTTTTTTGAATGAAAAATTCCCCAAAGAAATATTACAAGAAATGTTTCAAATACATTTTTCAGTTGCAAATCTTCCTCATATTCACTTGAAGTAAAACATTGATTTCCTTTGGGAAAGTTGTTAGAACGAAGAAATAAGAACTTGCATTTTTATATCACCTTATCAGGTCAATATTTCAAAGCAGTTCAAGTTAAATGCAGCAGTGTCAAGCAGTGAGTTGGTTTTGAAAATAATAACAGCTTCTATTGGAACTATCAATATCAAGGTCTCCCAAACAGTTTATCTTTTGCCAGCCAGGATCACCATTATTTAAGAGTATCCCACCCAAACTATTCAAAGCCTACAATTAAATGGAAATTTCGCTTTGTTTGTAACAGAGTGTGTACTCTCTCCCGGATAGAAAAACTCTGCTTACTTAATCCCAACACCAATAACAAATTACAATCATATAAGCGCCCAGATGCAGGATAGCATCTTAGAGCACGGTACAGTGGTGGGATTGGGTTAACAATTTTTTTTTTAAAAATCCCAGAAAGGTAAGCAAGAATTTCCTGATGTAGATCAATGGAATGTGGTAGTAACTCCAAAGGAATAGGTAAATAAATTATCTCAAATTTGACCCCAAGTTTACATAAAGCAAACATGCATCTTAATCAAATTTATCCGATATTGACAGAAATCATCACATCTACAGAATTCCTGGAACTGTACAAAAACAAAATTATATATTATTCAGATATTCAGTATCTCTGAATTGGACTCAGATACAAATTCCTGGTGCAAATGGCATTGTAAAATACGCTTAGTTTCCAGCAGTCAACTGATTTAACTGTGATGAGAGACTCGGTATAAGTTGGTCATATTCCCAGCAGCTAAAGGAGATAAAGGAATGATCGTTAAAATAATTAAGAGAATTGACAAGGTAGATGCAAGTAATGGCTTTTCTTTTCTGTTAGGGGAATCCAGAACAGTGGGACACAATCTTATAGTTAAAGCTCAAATGGTTAAAAGTTAATCAAAAACACATTTCCTCACGCAAAATGTGCAGTGCACAGTCCCAGAGGGCTATAAATGCAGAATCAACCAAAGTACTTAATAGGGAGAAAGATAGATGAATACTTGGGAAGTAAGGGTATTACATATAGGGAGAAAAGATGGGGGAATGAGATTAAAAATATAAAGAGCACCTATAAAATTCTGAAATAGCAGAGCAGGCTCGATCGGCCAAATGGCTTGCATTTGTTTCAAACGTTTTGTGAAACGTCACGGCTTTTGTGAGCATTGAAGGGCCTGAAAATGATGTAAAAATACCATTTACACTGCAGGGTGGACCGGAAAAAATAGGATATCTACGTTGTATATCATCTTGTCTATTAACCTGGCAACATTTCACAGAGATCCTTCCAAAAAGCACCATGATTTCTTTTCAAACATGTGGTAGCCAAAATGCAGTCTGCAACAAAGCAGATGTGTCTATGGGCCACTTTAATGCAGTTGTTTTCATATTCGTTTGTGTGGTTGATATGAGCACAATAGAGGCAAAGGGTTAAAGAGATTCCAAATCTACTCCTGATTGCTGCTTCAGCCTAGAGTTTGTGTACGGTGCAGTCCAAATGTCTACGGGGAATGTTTTGTTTTTGATTAATTTCTATGAAAACTGGTTTCATAAGGGGGAGTTATGAAGGAGTTGGTTTGATTAACAGGACTAGATTGGGCCTTGTGTGGTCTAATCCTGTCTTAATCTTGCCATATGAGGGTAAGTCTTTTAACATACAATTTTGTATCCTGGAATACCAAAAAAATGCCTTACCTGTTATACCTGGTCTTGGGCTACATGTAACTATCATAAATAAATAATACCTTGTGTCTTCACCAGAGTTTATCTTTCCTTCTAAATTCGCACTGAAAAACAACACCGACAGTTGCCTGCTTATATTCCTATCCCAGAAAACAATCACAGATCAAGCTTTACTAATTGTTTTGGTAATCCAGTCGTTTGTCTCCATTTCTGTGTTGTGGGCAGAAGTAAGTCATTTGCTGAGGTGGGTGGGGTGTCAAACATTCAGCTAGCAGTCAATGGGAATATATAACAAATACATAACAAAATGATCGCAGTTTTAGTGATCTCAGAGTGTGACACCCCTTTTAATAATAATAATAATCCTTACATCTGATATAGCACCTCATCACGTCGTTGAGACGTCTCAAAGAGCTTCACAGAATATACTGTGAAATGCATTGACTTTATTTTGTGGGTAATTTATCACCACAAAAGGCGCAAAAGCGTTCATAAAAGATTTACAAAAACATGTTTGGAAAAATGTGATTTTTTATAGTCCTTTGAAACACTCACTAAAGAGTTTACTTACGCTCTACTTTGTTATAACTATATATAACTATCCTTTCTACCCCACATCTGTGCCATGACCTGCTCTGCCTTCCCCCACTTCTGCAACATCACCCGGCTCCGCCACTGTCTCACACCGCAGGTCACCGAGACCCTCTTACAAGCATTCATAACATCCAGGCTCGACTACACAAACTCCCTGCTTGTCGGCCTCCCCAACTCCTCCCTCCACAGGCTGCAGATCACCCAGAAGTCTGCAGCCGTGTCCTCTCCCACACCAGGCTCCGCGACCCTATCACCCTCATCCTCGCCCGACTCCACTGGCTTCCCATCACACAGAGGATACAGTTCAAGATCCTGGTTCTCATCTTCAAAGCCCTCTATGGCCTTGCTCCCCTATACCTCTGCATCCTCCTAACTGCTATTAACCTTCCTATTCCCTCCACTCAGTGGACTCAGGCCTGCTTCACAGCCCCCGCCTCGCCCGCTCAACCATTGGTACTCTGCCCCCACCCTCTGGCACTCTTTTGCCTGCCTCCTCTCTTGCCTCCTTGAAGACCCATCTCAAAACCCGCCTCTCCAACCATGCCTTTGGTCATCCTCCTTCCCCCCTTGCCCTCCACCCTCCCCGATACCCAGATCGGGTCCAAAACATTGATTGTCCAGCACCTTGAGACGTCCTCCCGACAGGCACTATACAAATGTAATATTGTTGTTGTTATAATGGTTCGGGTTTTGTTCAACGGATAAACAATTATCATTTACAATAGTGGAAACAGTGGAATGTGAATAGCAATGCTGTACACTTTGGAGGAAGATGAGCCTTCGTACTGCTGTTATATGGAAATCAGAAGAGTTATTGGGGTGAAATTTGCATTATCACCACTGATCAATCCAGTGGGCAGCTTCCTGCTGAACAATTGGGATGGAGATGGAGATGATTTCACACCCATGTTTTTATTTATCACCTGTCTTTAGTAAATGACTGTCTGCGTTGACCAGATATATTAACAATATGCTATTTATCACCAGTGAAAAGCAACACGTGCTTATTCACAGTTTTGACCTCATTGTTATGTGTGTAAAAGAATTCCACAGGAATGGAAAGAAGAAACGTGCAGTCTTAGGATTAAAAACTACCAAGGGGATAAATAAATGCTCAACCTCTGTATGCTTAGGTGCCGTAGACTTGGCTTGAAAACAAAATAATAATAATCCTTGTTTCAAAGCGCTTCACAGAATATACTGTAAAATAAATTGACTGTATATTTTGTGGGCAAACTGCACAGCAGTGCCCCACAAACAGTTGTGGATTGAGTGACCAAATTATTATTATTATTATTATTTGTGGGGGATGCATTCTAAAATAATACATCCCCCGCAAATAACAATGTATGCTAACTCATCTGCCTCACACAGGCGTGACCGAGTTCAGTAACTCTTGTGATCCAATTCCCCCACGTCATCATCAGTGCTAGCGGGTTTAATGAAATATTCAAAAAAAATCAACGGGAATGAACAGAAGAAACCGAAAGGTTGTTAAACTTAATCATAATTCTCTGATTTTATAAAAGAGGAGCAGATGGCATGATTCCATCTTTAATTGATATTCCTAGGGCAGTTATCCTGCAGGCACCCAATTCAACGTTGAGCTTGTAGCAGAGTTTTGCCAAGCCAGCAGCCTGGTGTTGTACTGTCACCTCCACGTTGTTCTTGTGGAGTCCTGTAGCTCAGTGGTTAGAGCACTCGCCTCGCAAACGAAAGGACCTGGGTTCAATTCCCGGACAGGGCGAAACGTTGGGCAAGTTTCCTTACTCCACACACCTCTGTTTACCTAGCAGTAAGTAGGAACCCGGTGGTAAGTTGATCAGCGGATGGCTTTTTCAGGGGGTACTAAAATAAATTGGTCACTCAATCCATAACTGTTCGCAGGACACTGCTGTGTGCAATTGGTGGCCATGTTTTGTCCATAAAATACATAGTCAATCCACTTTACAATATATTCTGTGAAGCACTTTGAGACGTCTCAATGACATGATAAGGTGCTATTTCACATACAATAATTATTATTATTACAACACATTGAGGCTCTATTGACCTTTTACCTTGATCTCTTCACTACAGGTCCTTTTCGGGTAAGTATGGTAAAGCTTTGAGAAACTGACAAGGAGGTGAGATGACTATCCTGCAAGAATGATCTGCTTTAAGCCTCTTTCAATGGGATGTGATCAGTATCATATTATGTTAACGTCACACGCATTCTCCAACAATGCTCCTCAAGATTGCAGCTTATTCTGGTTGTGTCATTGGGAATTTACAGGCTAATTTAAGTGCTGCATAATAGTATGTGAAATAACAGAAAGGCAACTTGAAGTTAAGGCAGTAACACGAACTCCAGGTTCAGATTGCCTGTAGAAACAACTAGAGTTACACTCTTGCAGCTTATTCTGCCATCTGAGCCTCTAGATTAGAGACAGGCCAGTTTTATAAGCCCCTTCACTCTCTCTCATCAATATTTTTTGCTGGGTTCTGCACCCAGCTCAGAACAAGCCATTGAAACACACCTGATTGCAATAGGAAATCACATCAATCCTGCCACTCAAGTGCTGTGCTCTGTCTCTCTCTCTCAGTGCAAACTAATGTTCTCTTTCATTATAGAAATTGAAACCTCATAAATTAATAACTCCTAAACAGATGTCTAAATTTTGCATATTTTCAAAAGACTGCAGTTGAATTGAGCCAGTATATAGGGGGAATCTGTGATTTGTTTTATGAGCAATGCATAGGAAAATTAAAGATCCTTTAATGTAGACATTCCTAAAGGGCCTAATTAGTGGGAAGAACATATTGTTAGTTTAATGCAATTAAAATAGGCATTGCTGAACATGATTTAAGATTCATATTGATATGATAAACCTTATTAACATGACATTCTTTAGTCTGATTTGATCCTTCGTAACCAGTCCACCGAGTAAAAAGCACAGCGCAGTTTTGTGCGGTTTCAAGCTGGACTTTAACCCTCTCCTCTCCAGGCGTGATACAAATCCTCTTCAAATCATTTGCACAGGATTTCAAAAGCAGCTTTGATATCTTTTCTGACAAACTGAAATTTGATCAAGAATCAGATGTGGGGACTGAATATTTGACTGATAGTATCTCAAAGTTCTGTTAGCTCAAGTCTGATATGCTGGAGAGGAATTACTCTCAGACCAGTGTTTATACGCCACACAAACCCTCACCCATCCTAATCCCTTCTATTCCTTCCTCTGTCACATCTGCGTGAAGTTTCCTTTTCGAGACCTTGATGCTTTTTGCTTCTTGCTTCAACCACAGCTTGCAGCAGTGAGTTCCACATACTCACCACCCTCTGTGTAAACAACATCCCTTGAGATCTGCTACTGGCCGTATTATATTTGTGCCCCTCATTTTGCACCGACCAACAAGCCTATCAACATCTACCTTGTTCAAGTAATCATAATCTTAACCATCTCTTTCAGATCCAACTTTGCAGTCGGCCACTGAAAGGTAGAGGAGTGCAGACTGAGTTCACTTGCTTTCCAATTGTCTCCCTATCAGTGACACTGCAGAACTCACCACATAGAGCATAAAACACAATCCTGCTTCTTAGATTTTATCCAATAAAGCCCCCACCGTACACTACCTTCAAACATTACATCTGTGATGCTATTTTGGAAGACTCAGTATTCACTCTCAGTTTCACTCCCATTTCACTCACAAATTATAGTCAATTCACTTTACAATATATTCTGTGAAGCACTTTGAGACATCTCAACGATGTGATAACGCGTGATATCAAATGCAAGGATTATTATTATTAATAATTTCATTCTCGTGTCGCTTTAAGCAGACCTCTGCCAGAAAAATGCAGTCAAATGCCTTGTTCACAATGCCAATTGCTGTAATCATTGTATTCCAATTTGTTTCAGGTTGTGTATTACTTCAGTAATAATCCAGTTTCTGATTGAACCCCAAGTACACCAGTGGTTTGAATTTGACATTTTGTAATTGGTTGAAATTGACAGAGAGTGCACTGACATTTAAGATATATTAAGCTTCACTATACGAATAATACGTCTGACCCCAAACATTTGACTTATCCTTCCTTATAACCTTTAACATGTATTTCTCGGAAACTGTTTGAGAAAGTTTAATGACCATTCCTATATAGTATTTATATTATGGATAGTTAATACAATGAATGATAGCTGCTTATACGTAGATTGAGATTTGCAGTAAAGTACATTAGGAGATTGTCTGAACAATGCAATATCCAGGAGACTCTTATGCAAATAAAACAACTGGCAATATGTTATTGCCCAAGGAAGTTCTAGTCCTCAAAAGGTTAATTGAGTTGTGGGGACAAGTGTATTTTAAACATATATACATGTAAATATCGCTGTGTTGGCACTATATTGATTTGCAAAGGCACCACCTTTAGTTTTGAGGCAATAATCCTGTTTCAAAGAGTTTGTTCCTGGACAAGGGAAGATTTAAAAACGACCGT